GCGCCACCACGCCCAGCTAATTTTTTCTGTTTTTAGTTGTTTGGCTAATTTCTTTGCATTTTTAGTAGAGATGGGGTCTCGCTCTTGCTCAGGCTGGTCTGGAACTCCTGAGCTCAAGCAATCCTCCCGCCTTGGCCTCCCAGAGTGCTAGGATTACAGGCATTAGCCACTGCGCCCGGCCTCAAGTGAGTTTTTCAGTTGTCAAAATTATTAACATGAACAATCTGGAGAGATTCGGATGCAATTATTTAGTGTTCAGACCCGTGAAAGGTATTGTTCAGGTAAATATCTCCCCTGTTCCCTCATTTTAAAGCCAAAGATGTTGAAGCCTAGAGAGGCTTCTGGTTAATTTGTCTGAGGCCAGACAGCTCCCTAATCCCTTCATTTCTAGTCTCATTCCCAACCCTCCTCCAATCTCAGTGGCTTTTCTCCATCAGTTATTTCCTTTACTCTCTATATTCAGCTTTTCTTTTTGCTAGCTGGTCTCATTAAGGTCTATTGCATTTGTAAAAGCCATAGAATCTCACTACCACCCTTTCTTTTGTTATCCCTGGAAATGCATTTTCTGTTTTCTGTCTATGTTTTCCTTTCACCAAGTTCACTGCATTCTATTTTTTGCCCCTGTTACTTCACTGAAAATTTCCTGGATAATATTGCCAAATTTAGTGGACACTTTTTAGATTTTAAATCAGTCTCTCTTAATGTTTACAAATTTCTCCTTGAAATCTTCTTCCTTTAACTCCTATGATACTGTTTTTTCCCTGGTTAGTTTTCTGATCAGTTTTTTTCCCCTCATTTGTGGGTTTCTTTTTTTCCTGTTTATGTTGGCATTGTTCCTCAGAGTTCTGCCTTGACTTTTTTCTCTTACTCTATTTATTCTTCCTGAGTGACATTATCCTGTTATTACATCCTGGTGACTCTCAAATCTGTACCTCAACTCACGTCACTCCTGAATTCCATTCCTTGTATTCAGCTCTCTTTTGATGTTACCTATGTTCTCTAAGTAATTTAGCCTGTGTCTCCTTTGTAAACAAAAACAGAAAACAAACGCAAAAACTTACCGTCTTGCTCCTCAAATCGCTACCTTTCTCACACTGAGTCTTTTGGTCCATAACCTCTTCTCTATCTCACCCCATGCACTTATTGTCCATTGCTACTCTTTTGATGCAGGCCCTCAACTTTTTTCATCCCTAATGTTCACTCTGGTTGTTTCCCACGTTGCTATTAGAATAAGAACATCTTAATGTGACTATTCTGCTTAAAATCCTTTAAGTCTTTAAAAGATTTTCAAGATTTGGTCCTTATCTACCTCTCCATCCTCATTTCTTACCCATCAGTCAGCTACATTAGTCATGATAGGCTATCCTGTGATAATTAAGGCACTGCAAATTCAGTGGCTTAATACAACAAAGCTTAATATCTTGCTACAGAGCTTTCCTGCATGCTACAAGTTTTTCACTGGTCCGCGAGGCTTCTATCCGTATAGTCCAGCAGAGACTCATGCTAATGAAATTCTGCCATCTTGTAGCTATACCACTTGAAACATGATGGAAGAGATAGCTGAAGGGTCTCAAGCTGAACCTGCTATACTTTGGCCAGAAGTGACACACATCATTTTTTGCAGTCTTTTGGCCATAACTTGTCACGTGGGCCTGTCCAAGTATAAAAGAAATATAAGGCTGCCCTTGAAATGTTTGGTGAGCACTTCTATCTGCCGTATAGTCATATTGAAGTTTTTTCGTTTTCAAGAATTCATCAGTACAGTTATCTCTGTGCTTTTTGTATGTAGTATTCATTATGCCTGTTATTAAATCTCCCACCCTTCCTCACTTCTTGCCAACTTATTGTCTAACACCCAGATCTCTTTTCTGGAAGGCAGTCATTCCACTTGGGTACTCTATTACCATAATATCCTGTGAATATCTTTGTTGAAGTACTTATTCACATCCTTGTAGACATTTTTTTTCTTGTCATTTTTCCCCATTAAATTGAGTTCTGAGGGTAGTAACTGGATCTTTCTTGTCACCTTAATTTCTAATATGTGGTACATTCCTTGACATACATAATTGCTCAGTGAGGAATGAATGCATTTGGTTGTGTAATGTACAAAGCAAACATTTTCTGATAAGCAGTTAATCATTCTGTTGGAGCTATTAGATTTCTCCATGATTTTTTTTTTTTTTTTTTTGAGACAGAGTCTCACTGTGTTGCCTGGACTAGAGTGCCATGGCGTCATCCTAGCTCACAGCAACCTCAGTCTCCTGGGCTCAAGCAATCCTTCTGCCTCAGCCTCTTCAGTAGCTGGGACTACAGGCATGCGCCACCATGCCCGGCTAATTTTTTCTATATATTTTTAGTTGTCCGATCAATTTCTTTCTATTTTTAGTAGAGACGGGGTCTCGCTCTTGCTCAGGCTGGTCTCGAACTCCTGAGCTCAAACAATCCACCTGCCTCGGCCTCCCAGAGTGCTAGGATTACAGGCGTGAGCCACCGCACCCGGCCTACAATTGTTTTTTATTTGGGATTCTAGAATCAGACAGCACCTCATTTTGTAAAGTAGAATGAGTGTTGCCATGAAGTGAGCAATGGGAAGGTTGGCTTTATAGGCAGAAAAGGGCTGAAGAAAGCACAAATAGGAACAAAAAGCAGATAATTCTTTCAAAGTTACTTTCCTAATAGGGTTAAAACAGAGGGAATTTTCTTGTTACGATGTTCAGGTTGACTGGAGTCTCCTGTTTTTTTGGAAAAACTGTCCTGTTTCAAAGTTCATTTTGATTGCATAGAACTTAGCACAAGTGACTTTATTCTGGTTTGGTCTGGTCTGCTGGGGCCTAGTGCAGGAGGCTGGTCCAGAACAGTGGCCTCCCATGAACTTTATTTAACAATAGGTAATAGCTAAAGTAATGCATGTATATTTCACTGCCTTTTTTTTTTTTTTAATGGAAATCTTTTTCTTAGACATTGGAACTTGCCAGGAATCCAGCAATGATGCAAGAAATGATGAGAAACCAGGACCGAGCCTTGAGCAACTTAGAAAGCATCCCAGGGGGATATAATGCTCTCAGGCGCATGTACACGGATATTCAGGAGCCGATGCTGAGTGCCGCACAAGAACAGGTGATCCACTGACTCCAAGGTTCAGGCCAGGGAGTAATTTCTATTTTAACCCAAATATGTGTGTTATTGAGGGGTGCCTTTATATGGTGAATGTGATTTTTTTTTTTTTTTAAAGTTCTATATCTGTTATTTAGAGCAAAAGCTTATTCTTTATGGTTTTTGTGTCTTTTATTACAGTTTGGTGGTAATCCATTTGCTTCCTTAGTGAGCAATACATCCTCAGGAGAAGGTAGTCAACCGTCCCGTACAGAAAATAGAGATCCATTACCCAATCCATGGGCTCCACCGGCTTCCCAAAGTTCACCAGCTTCCAGTGGCACCACCAGCAC